TAATGAGGCAGTATCTTCATTAATGTTTAGCTTTCAGATGTTGCCAAACCTGAAGAGTGTTTATCTGGCACAAAACAACTATAACTATAAAACTATTTACAAATTATACTAATTTTAAAATGAATCGATCAATCCAAAGCTATGCACTTACTTATTTTGCTAATTTAAAAAAATGAGGAGCACCTTCTGATCAGTGACAGAAATTAACTTTCTAAGGCCATATTTGCCCCCTTAAAATGTTTTCCAGGGGTATTTTATTTTATTTTATTTTATTCGTATTTGTTTTTATTTTATTTATTTATTTTAACCTTTGTATGGGTATTTTTCTATTCTTTAAATGTATGTCATCTTTTATGAAAAATCTTACAATGACAAATAAAAAGTAATAATTAAAAATAAGACAATAAATTCAAATTCAAATGAAAATCACTATTTGTGAGCTTCCAAATATATTTTAATGTGCGTCCAAATACTTTTTTCACAGTCACACTGTAGAGTCTCGTTTATTTGATCAATTTATTTGATAAAAAAAACATACTGATTCAACTAAATCAAGTTTATCAGCAATAGAGAATGAACATGATCATATACTTTCTAAAAGAGATAAATGTTGCTGCAATGGAGAGTCTCATTTGGAGTCCCCAGGGCTCTGGTCTTGTGGTCTATAATCTTTTCTTGATCCATCCTGTCTTTTAGAAGTTAAGCCCATAAAACCTGCAACCCACCTCTGTTGTATATTAAATATAAAATATGTTCAAATTTGACAGCTCCTTGGCTTTCATTGTGGAAGGACAAATTACTTGTTGGAAAAGTTCAGCTTCTAATTATAAAATTATAAATAATATGTTATTTTGTTCACGTCATAGCGCTGCTCACAGTTCAAAATCCTGCTCCACTAAGCTATGCATTAAAAATCAAATGCATTCTGAATGGGTGTCATCGTGTCAACATAATCCATAAACCTCATTGATTATGGTCCTGTTGAACATATTATGCCATTTTTAGTAACCAAGCATGGTCAATGTGAAGTCGATTCGCTCTTTAAGGTAACCGTTCTTTAAACTGTGTTTAAATGTGGCTCGTATGTTGTGGCTTTAGGCCCAGCAGGGGTAGAGCAGTGGAGGCAGAGCTTTCTGGCATGTCTGGCTCAGACACAAGCAGATTTACTGCAAATGAGATCATCTATCAGCAGGGGAGAGGAAGGATGTGGACAAGGGCATGGAGGACATGAGTGAGGGAGCGGCCGGAGCAGAGACCTCTGCCCAAGAAAGGACACATTCTTTCAGCCTCTGTCTCTTTTTCTACCTCTTTTCCAGAATTATGAGATGGAACTGACCTGTGGTACTTCATAGTGGAGGGAGCTGCATTCAGAGATGCATGCACTTTTACAGTGAACTGAAGCACTGTTTTTTATTTTATTTCGGGCATTTGCCTTTATTTGAACGAATAATAGCAACTGAAAATAATGCATAATGCAAATTTCTGCTTTTAATATTTAGCTTAACATCGCGATATATAACACGCTATATTAAAGGCACAGCTAAATGTGACATTTATTATAATGGATTTATGTGAAGATTGTTTTTGGTTCATTTAAATGAAAATTTATTTTTTTCAATGTTTTGTAAAAGTTTAGGCCTATTAAATGTTTAAAATGATGGCACAAATTTTACTATAATTTTGAATGGCTATATGTACTTATTTGATCAGAATCAGAATCAGAATGAGCTTTATTGCCAGGTATGTTTATACGAGGAATTTGTTTTAGTGACAGAAGCTCCACAGTTATCCTGAGAACAGGTACAAGTGATACTGACTTTAATTCATAGTAAGTAAAACTTGTTATTAATCAAATATTTAAAATATACCGTCTTTATGTGTTTCTACGTTATTTTGAGGATAATGTGAAAAATATTTATTTTATTACAAACTTTAATTTTCAGTGCAATTAATTGTGATTAATTAAATAAAAATGTGTTTACTTTTTTATTTTTTAAATTTTTTAATCAACTGACAGCAGTAATACATGTCTATATATATATATATATGCATTTACATTTAATCATTTAGCAGACGTTTTTATCCAAAGCGACTTACAAATGAGGAGAACAATAGAAGCAATCAGACGAACGAGAGAGCATCAGTATACAAGCGCTGTGACAAGTCTCAGTTAGTCTAGTAAAGTACACATAGCTAGGTTTTCTTTTTGTTTTTTTTAATAGAATAGAATAGAATAGGTAAGTTCTAGTATTAGTTCGTCAGGTGCTGGCAAAAAAGATGTGTCTTTGGACATTTTTTGAAAATGGCCAAAGAATCAACTGTTCGAATTGAGATAGGGAGGTCATTCCACCGGCTGGGCACAGTCCAGGAAAAGGTCCGTGAGAGTGATTTTGTGCCTCTTTGGGATGGCACCACAAGGCGTCGTTCACTAGCAGAACGCAAGCTTCTGGAGGGCGCATAAGTTTGAAATAGCGAGTTTAGGTATATTGGTGCATTGGTGCAAAAGAGCATTACAATAGTCAAGTCTGGAGAGCTTGGGAGCTTGGACAAAGAGTTGTGCAGCTTGCTCTGATAGGAAGGGTCTAATCTTCCTAATGTTGTATAAGTCAGGACCGGGCGGACAAAGAGTTGTGCAGCTTGCTCTGATAGGAAGGGTCTAATCTTCCTAATGTTGTATAAGTCAAATCTGCAGGACCGGGCCGTTGTAGCAATATGGTCTGTGAAGCTTAACTGATCATCTATGACAACTCCAAGGTTCCTGGCTGTCCTGGAAGGAGTTATGGTACCCAGCTGTATAGAGAAGTTGTGATGAAGTGCTGGTTTGGCTGAGACCACGAGCAGTTCTGTCTTAGCAAGGTTGAGTTGAAAGTGATGGTCCTTCATCCAGCTAGAAATGTCTCTCAGACAGGCTGCAATGCGAAATGACGACATGTAGATGGAGAAGAGAAGTGGTCCAAGCACTGAGCCTTGAGGAACCCCAGTAGCAAGAAGTTGTGGCTTAGAAACCTCGCCCCTCCAAGACGCCCTGAAAGACCTACCTGAGAGGTAAGACATGAACCATTGGAGTGCGGTTCCTGAGATGCCCATCTTTATGAGGGTGGACAGAAGGATCTGGTGGTTGAGCACTGAAGATTTGCAAGCTGCTCTTGCCAGTCTCAGGGCTTCAGTAACCGAGAGCAGGGCAGTCTCAGTTGAGTGGCCGCTTTTGAAGCCAGACTGGTTGTTGTCCAGGAGGTTGTTCTGTGCAAGGAACATAAAGAGTTGGTTGAACACAACTCGCTCAAGTGTCTTTGCAATGAATGGAAGAAGGGATGGCGGTCTGTAGTTTTCTAAAAGTTCTGGATTTAGAGAAGGTTTCTTAAGCAGTGGGGTTGCCCGAGCCTGCTTAAATGCTGTGGGAAATGTACCAGTGTGAAGAGAGGTGTTGATAATGTGAGTAAGCGCAGGTATGACTGAAGAAGAAATGGCCTGAAGTATGTGAGTGAGGATAGGATCAAGTGGACAGGTAGTAGGGGGATTGGAAAGGATATGTTTGGAAACATCCATCTCCAAGAGTGGAGAGAAGGAGGAGAGAGAGTGTGTATTTGTCGTAATGAAGTTCTCATCGGTTTGTAGTGTGGAGAATTGGTCATTGATGTTTCTTGTTTTATTTATGAAGAATTTTGTAAAGTCATCAGCTGTAAGAGTTGATGAAGGAGGAGGGTGAGGAGGACAGAGCAGAGAAGAGAAAGTTTTGTAAAGTGTGCGAGAGTCAGAACAGTTGTTAATTTTGTTGTGGTAGTATGTTATTTTAGCAGTGGAGGCATTTGCAGAGAAGGAAGAGAGGAGTGACTGATACTCACTGAGGCTGGTCGAGTTTTTTGATTTGTGCCATTTCTTCTCTGCATCCCTGAGTCTAGAGCGATGTTCACGGAGAACATGCCGGTACATGCTGGTCTGGATGAAAGGGGGCAAAAGTTATCTAAGCAAGATGTTAGAATGGAGCAGAGAGTGTCAGTAGCACTGTTTGTGTCCAGTGCTGAAAACTGAGAGGGTGAAGGAAGTGAGGATAAAACCATAGAGGATAGGCGAGAGGGAGAGAGTGAGCATAGGTTACACCGAATGTGACCTGCAGAGGCGTGTGTGCTATGTCAGGAGTTAGTGTGAGGTTAGAAGTGATGAGGAAGTGGTCTGAGGTGTGTAATGGAGTAACTAAAGTGTTGTCAGTGGAGCAATATCGTGTGTAGATGAGGTCCAGGTGGTTACCTGATTTGTGAGTAGCCGTAGTAGACACTCGCTTGAGATCAAATGAGGCGAGCAGAGTGTTGAAGTCAGCAGCCTGGGGTTTTTCTAGGTTGATGCTTATAGTCAACGTACAGTACCGTCCTCAGGAAAGTTTGATAGTAACACATCCAACTCCTCCAAGAAGTTACCCAGTTGACCTGGGGGACGATAAACAACTACAAAGTGGATTTTAACAGGGTGGGTAATAGTAATTGCATGTGATTCAAATGAACTGTTGCCTGTAATAGATGGTAGAAGATCAAATTTCCATTCATTTGAGATAAGTAAACCAGTACCTCCACCCCTCCCAATCGCACGAGGGGTGTGGGAAAAAGTGAAATTAGTGGAGAGGGCTGCAAGTGTGGCAGTGTCCTAGGGTTTGATCCAAGTCTCAGTTAGGGTCATGAGGTTGAGACCAGAATGAGTAGCAATAGAAGAAATGAATTCTGCTTTGTTTACTTTGCTTTTTTTATTAAATGAGAAAATATATGAGAAAATAAAACAGTATATGTAATGAGCTAACTGCTGTGCAACATCTCTGACAAAGCCTGAAAAAAAAATAGATCTTCATTATCACTAAGTGGGGAAAAACTTTAAGCACTTTGCCTGTAATGAACTTCTGTTATGTTGTAATGTCACATCTTCTCTGGATTCTGTGGGCTGTACTTTAATTCTCATTTCTATGCAACTGTGCAGTCAATAAAATCATCCTGAAATGACTTGTGTTTTTCTACTAGGCACCAAATGAGAAGATCTTTGAAGTTGATGACGATCTCGTTCACAAAACCCCTCCACATTCTTCACAGGAAAACGAGGTGTGAGGCTTTATCTGCAATGCTCTCACACATACCTAATGATTATAACTCTACACACTGGTCCTGTTTCTGCAGCTGAGTGAAAAGTACAAGACGGCACATGGCACAGGGGCAAACGAACGTGTTAATTAAAGTCAACCGATTCACTGTGCAAACAGATGCAGGTTCTATGTGGAATGTCGCATTCTGAGAATTGTGCCCATCTCTAGCCGGTCAAATGAAGTTCAAAGGGGCATTCTAGAGTCCTTGCACTCATTTTAGCATTCCTTGCCTATTTTGCGTTTATGAGTTGCTGTTTAAAAATGTGAACGTTTGAAGAGCTAGACAATAAGGATGGCCAAAAAAGAGTTTTGGACCATCAGGCCAGTGCTATGTTGTCAGTACAAATGAGTTGATGATCATTTACATGCGTTTATATGCACAGAACATTAGAAGATTGTGAATCTTAAAAATTTGAAAATAGTTAATACATTTGCTGATTAAATATGTCACCAAGGTAAAATTATATAGCAAAAGTGTATATATGATTTGATGGCTGTCATGAAGTTATATAAGTAGTATTTAATTAACAAATAATTCTATCAGCAGAATGCATTAAATTGATCAGAAAACATTTGTAAGGTTAAAAAAAACAAAACCTGTTTTTAATCACTTTCCGTGTGCCAAAAAATCCTGACAAAAATGATCACAGTTTCCACATGTTAAGCAGCAACATTGATACTAATAAAATGTTTCTTGAGTGCCAAATATTAGAATGATTTCTGAAGGATCATGTGGCACTGAAGACTGGAGTAATGATGCTGAAAATTCTGTGTTGCCATCAGGAGAATTACTTCGATTTTACAATGTATTGCAATGTCTTTTTTTTTTTTGTGGTGGACCAGTGAAAATATTGGCTAGGCCACAAAGTGGCATTATAATCCTTATGTTGAGCTCTGTTTATGGATATTTCCAAGACCTTCTAATGAAATGATGTTCTTTGGTTCATTCTTATTGTTTTATCCCCCCATAGAAATTGCCACCAAAGTGGCCCCGGTCGTGGAAGAGAGAGGACATGGTTCTTCGAAAACACTTATTCTAAACACAAGGTTAGAATTCCTACTGTGCACTAATTATTGTTTATGTCTGCATCAATATGCTGTTGCAGTTTAGCTCCAGCTGTAGTGAAGCATTGCCAAATCACTGGATTGCCTACTGCATATACTATGAATATGTATGTTTGCATAAAATATGATTATGCTTTTTAGATCTGTTTGGCTTTGCAAATATTAAAACGGCATACATACCGTGTTTCTTGTATCACCCAAAAAATGGAAAATCTCTTATTGTTTACTCACCCTCATGTCGTTCCAAACCTGTATGATTTTATTTTTTCTGCAGATCACAAAACAAGCTTGTTGGAAGAATGTTGGTAACCAAACAGTTTTGCTTATCCATTTTCCACTGTATGGACAAAAGGCACTGAGACATTTCTCAAAGTATCTTTTTTTTATGTTTCACAGAATAAAGAAAGTCATAGATTTAGATTTAGAATAACATCACAGAACTTTCATATTAGGCTGTTATGCCGGTGCTAGTTGTCACACCTCTATTGCATTGATCAGTTAATCAGAATGAGTTTTTATGAGTTTTTTTTTTTTTTTTTATCAAATCATTTTGATGGAAGAGTTTAACTGACTTACTGACATTTTAGTATAATGTTTTCAGGCGGTGGCCCCTGTAACCATATGTAACCAGTAATTTAAATGATAAACTGTGTGTTCTTGCAACAAGACCTATTATTATCTGTTCTCCACCCCACTCTCGCCGCCTGCGTCTTGCCCAGCGGCTATGGTTTCAACCTGGCAGGCATCACCGATGGCATTTTGTTTGTGAGGGAATTTCACACAGTCTCACGACAGGCAAGAGCACTGTGTGTCCCTCTCTCACCCTCTTCCTCTCTTTCTTTCTGCGCATCCCAAAATGGTTGACATTTATGACAGACACGACCGTAGCCAAGCGTGCTCAAATATTCATACTCATTCTCATGAAGACTGGCATTTTTTAAATGGAAAAATGCAATTGTTGTGGTTACGAGAGGATAATGTCTCCGTTCTTGTGCCTATCAAGAGCTTTTGTTCAGTATTGCTTCAGTTATTTTGTTAACTTTACTTTTGGCCTTGATGAAATATGTAGCTGATGTACCCACACAGATTTTTCCATTGGCTTTTGTACTATTATTGCAGAAAATGAGCTCTGTGACCAACAAATGCTTAGGATTCTTGCATGTTTTGTTCATCATAATCTTCACAATTGAACTAAATGTTGATGACCTTTGATGCCTAAATACAATCAGTAGACGTAAAAAGCTAAACGTATAACTAATTGCCAACAGCAACTGCCATAGATATCAGTTGAAGTTTTGTTTTAACCGTGATAACATGCATTTACCAGGATTTCTGCAGATATTAAAAAAAAGTCTTAAAAAGGTCTTCATTTTTCATTCCACACATTAAGGCCTTAAAAATCATTTATAAACTCATAGCATTAAATGCTGCATGCACTGGAGAAAATGAATATCTTCCTCATTCCTCGTCTTATTTTTCAATACAAATATCTATACATTCTTGAATCAAATGCATTTACTTAAGATGCAAAATTGAGATACAGTAGTTGAAGTCTTGTTTTCTGATCAATTAAAAATTAAGTGAGTTTATATTTAAAACAAGAACAAATACCTGTCAGTCACATGTGGTTGCCGCAAGCCGTTCTCAAGCCCGCCGTGATGCTGAACTATGAGTTTCTAATGGTGTGATCAGTAGCTACAGTAAATGTATTTCCATGTTCTCGTGGAAGGGAGCAGAGTGCCTCCTAAACATTATTGACGTGTTTGACTTGAATACATCTACCATTTTCCATTCACACCAAACACGGCTGATTTGTCAGGTGGTGTGATATTGTGGCAACATCCTCTATAGATTGGAAACCCAACAGGAGGAAAATGTTTACCCCCATCCACAGATCACTGATCTCAACACCTCCTCACCTTCTACCAGTCTCAGACCACTCAGCCCTTTCCTGTGCTCTGTTTTGCTGTTTACAGAAATCCATATTTTGATTTAGCTTTTTTTTTCATGATTATTGTGAAATTTTAGATGACTGTTTCTCTAGATGTTATATAAGAACAAACCAAACTGTTAGCGGTCTCTGTATTCTTCCTGGTGGTTCCTGGTCAGAATATGTACCAGATTTCTGCCATAATTCAACGATCTGTACATGTGGTTAAAGAATTCCTGATAACTTCTGAGTGTCACATTTTCACACGGATGGTTGGGATACTGACAAATCACATCACGTTTTTTTCCTGACATTAACATTTAGTTCACACAGACATAGAAATGCATTAAACCAAATGGAAAAACAAGAAAATAATGCCTTTCTCTGCTGGAATGAGCCACGGCAATCTGTGCGAGTTTTTCACCGTGAGGGTCTCAGCTTCCAGAAAAACAAAATTCGTTCAACCGTCAGTCTCTCCCAGCAGGATAGAGCGATTACCCTCTGACTAGAAGGATCTAATGCAGCAAAATGAAAAGAAAAAATAAACATGGCTCATTTACAGTGTCTCTTGATGGAATGTAACGTCATGCTGGAATCAAAGTACATCTTCGATGCACCATTACTCCTTTGATAACCTATTTGCATTTTCTGCCAGCACTTGAAAAACATTTTTGGTTTTGATGGGGATTATACTGTAGTTACCTCTGGTGGCCTGTAGGAGAGGTGTAGGCTAATAGGTTTGATCTTTTGTTATCTAATGCACTTGCTTTGATATATTATTTAAATGTATTTACAAGTGCACAGATACATTTTGGAGGGCACTGTACTACCTGCATTGCATATGGAAGTATTTCTCAGGCAGGTTATTTTGAAATGAATACACTACCATTAAAAAGTTAGGGGTAAGTATTTTTTTAAGGAGGAAAGTATTGCATTAAATGTGCATTAGTATGCATTAAATTACTCAAAATGACAGTAAATACATTTATACTGCTAAATGATATTTATAAACAAAAAATGTCAAATAAATGCTGTTCTGAACTTTCTATTCATTATGGAATCCAAATAAATCAAGCTTTCCACAAAAATATTCAAATCATTTCTGAAGGATCATGCGACACTGAAGACTAGAGTATTGAAGAAAATTCAGCAGCATTTTAATTTGTATAATATTACTGTTTCTACTGTATTTTATTGTAGATTTTACTGCAGCCTTAGGGAGCATTAGAGACTTCTTTCAGAAGCATTACTAATCTTAATCACCTCAAACTTTTGAATGGTAGTTTTTTTAAAGCTCCTTTAAAAAGTTTTACAAGTTAAAATATGACTAGATCTTTTAAATATATTCAAAATAAATTAAAAAAATATATTCTAAATGGGGCAAGTTGTCTCAGTAGAAAACTTTTGAGAAATAAAATTTTTTTTTTGCTGAAATAGTTATAAAATAATGACATTAAAAGACATCTTACACCACATACTGTATATATGTGCATCTCAGTATGATTGTATTATGTTCTCTTATTTAGCCAACAGCTTGTAAAATTACCGCTTGGGGTCTTCTGAATGAAGATCTTATTATTTACAGCTTTCCTAAGTGTCTGGTCGCCTCCGCTTGAATGTGGCATTTATAGGAATCCTGTTCCGTCACCTTTGTGTCTTTTGAGCTGGATATTTAACCCGCGTATCACATCGTGGCTAACTAACCTGTATATGTGGCGTGATGTCAAGAAGCTTGTTGTCTGCCAACAGTGAGTAGGTGGATGTCTTTGATTGAAGGCCTGATTAAACATCTTAACCTTGATGTTTGAACAGAAAGCAGAGAGCAAAGCAATGACTCTACTTCATGCTGAAAAGAAAGTGAGAGGAATTAATTTAGACACGGAGATGGCCTTGAGATGTTAGCTTGTAACAAATGAGCCAAAGCACAGTCAGGGTAACTTTCTCTCTCTCTCTCTCTCTTTCTCACTCTGTTCCTTTTTTCCATTAGAGTTTTCTTTCATCTTTAAGCAGGAGATTAAACACTGAATCTATTAACATCGGATTTGATTCTCACAGTTTTTACAGACAATGTCCCCAAAGTGTGACTGTAGTTGTGTTCACACACAGGAGACACAAATAAAGTAAGAGAAAACTCTGTCGAAATGGTAAAAAAGTCCTCACAAAAGCATCGGACTCTTACGGAGGCACATCTTTTTTTAATATATCATGACCCCACGGGGTGAGATCTTGTGTGGAGCCCCAGATCGAGGGAGATTATCAGTGGTCTTGTATGTCTTCCATTTTCTAATACTTGCTCCCACAGTTGATTTCTTCACACCAAGCTGCTTACCTATTGCAGATTCAGTCTTCCCAGCCTGGTGGAGGTCTACAATTTTGGTCTTGGCCATGGTGGAGTTTGGAGTGTGATTGTTTGAGGTTGTGGACAGGTGTCTTTTATACTGATAATGAGTTCAAACAGATGCCATTAATACAGGTAATGAGTGGAGGACAGAGGAGCCTCTTAAAGAAGAAGTTACAGGTCTGTGAGGGCCAGAAATCTTGCTTGTTTGTAGGTGACCAAATACTTATTTTACAGAGGAATTTACCAATTAATTCTTTAAAAATCCTACAATGTGATTTTCTGGATTTTTTTTCTCATTTTGTCTCTCATAGTTGAGGTATACCTATGATGAAAATTACAGGCCTCTCTCATCTTTTTAAGTGGGAGAACTTGCATATATATATACATAAATAATTGAACGATGAAAGATTTGCTAGACCGTCTCAATAGCAAAGTTCTGCTGCTGTTTTGCTGTCAAGAGGGCTTTCAAGCTGAACAAAGCTTGTGATTCTGTATCTGATCTAATTCGTACATCGTGGGATTTTTTTTTTAAATTATGAAAAGAAAGCTGTCAGGCTCTCTGTGGAATAGCAAGTTTTAGGCCTTCTGTTGTACATCAGCTTGTAAACTAAGCAATTACACAGGATTTCAAAGCTGAGCATTGTTGTTGACTCAAGGTTGCGTGTTGCGCCCTGCAGGAAAATTGCATTGGCATATTTGGGG